ATTCCCTCTGTAGAGCAGGCTGGCCTAGAACTCACAGAGATCTGCCCGCCTCTGCCATCAAGTGCTTAAAGACATGTGCTACAATACCCGGCTAGGGTGGGGGATTTTAAAAAGACAAAATTGTCTCTGTCAGTATTTTCAGTAGTTTCAAATGTATCCAAGACAAAATAGAATGTATTAATATTCTCTCCATGTGTACAACTACAATTCCTATGTTTGCACCTATAATGTCATGTCTTCTAATGACAGGCCTACTCATTAGTGTCCTAGAAGAGCAAAGGAAAAAAATATGAAGAAATGCAGATTTCTGTAAATGTATAACCAGTAAATTAAAAAAAATACAATAGCAAGGAACTATGGGTTTTCTAGCTGTTTCTAATCTTGAGCCAATAAATCCATTCAGGATTTCTGCCATCAATTCTTTTAGCTTAGTAAAAAAAAAAAAATCAGTGTTTAGCATTTTATTATTGTGTTCCCTCACCTTTTATTAGATCAAAGAAACCAACCAATATGCCAACACCTTTACTGGGTTTTTTTAATAGAATCAAAGGTATTACATCACAGCAAACCACCAATTTCCCACTTTTCTCAGTAGCTCCACAATGAGATGTCCCCCATTGTCTGTTGCTTTATTCTTCAAGGACAAGAGTTTCTAGAAGCCCCCAACCATTTGATTCTGTGTGAACTCTTTTTTAGAACTACCAGTTAAAATGTAATTAGAGGAATGAAAGCTGTAGGTCAGGAAAACCATTATTTCCAAATACTATTATCCAAAACTATTATCAGTCAAGTATGTAGATAAAATGTGTGATATTCCTCAAACAAAATCACAAAGAATTGACATCAATAAGAAATAAACAACCAGCTAAGAGCGGGTGTCACTGTCTCCCTTTTCAATCCAGTATGTTTCTTATTTTGTTTTGTTTTTTTGTTTTGACGAGCGGGTGTCACTGTCTCCCTTTTCAATCCAGTATGTTTCTTTTTTTGTTTTGTTTGTTTGTTTTGACACAGGGTTTTTTCTGTGTTGCTTTGGAGTCTGTCCTACAACTGGCTCTGCAGACAAGGCTGACCTCCAACTCACAGAGATCTGCCTACCTCTGCCTCCCAAGTGTACAATTAAAGGTATGGTCCTGGCTCCAGTATGTCCTTTGAAATACACTGTAACCTAGATTAAGGTATTTCAACAGTATTTCTGATAGTACTTGGCTACCACCCAACATACCACTAAGCCACTGAGGCCAGCCTCGGCTGCAGAATGAGACTTTGATTCAAAGGAAAAAAAGAAAGCAAAAATAAATAAGTAAGTAAAAAAACAAACAAACAAAAAACCATAAACAGCAGCAAAAACTCAGAATGATGAAGAGGAAAAGGCAAGAGAGACCCAGGAAAACTCTCATTCTAAATTTTCACTGTCATAGACGAAAAATTCTCACATGGCTTAGCTTTTTTGCTTTGTTTTTTTCTTTTCCTTTCTTTTTTGAGTACCTAAACTGAGGGAGATTTTTTCTTTAATCATGATCAAATTCTAGATTTTCATGTGCAAAAACAGAAACCCTGCATGTATCCCAATGTGCATACTGATTCACTGCAGTTCTGTGAACTCTGATGCCTGATGAAGCTTTCAGCTCTGACCTTGCCACTGGCTGGCTTCAGGCCTCTGCTATATAGATTTCTATGAAATGGACATTTGAAATAAAGAATTTAATATATCCATAACACCTTTCAAGTTCATAGCTCAAAGAGTTCCATAAAATTCAATTAACTCATCAAGCATCATAAATGATGAAGGACATACATAATTAAAGTTCACTATGTGGCCAGCCATTGGCAATGAAGGGACAGGGTAGGGCTTAACACACAAAAAACAAATTTTGACCTTTTCAGCTTCTGAAATCTTTTGCCTTTACCTCTCAACCATGGGTAAACTATGAGAACTGTGAGTTTGGTTATGGGTACACAAAGAAAGTATGATTCCAATGCCAAGAGCCCAAATCACTAGGCATAGGTTTGGATCCAACCTGAGAGTGATGCTATCACTGCCATAGTGGGAGCAGAATCATATGGTAGAAGTCTTTGTGTGGCATCTCAGATGATATCAACAAAACTTGTGATAAAAATAATTGGTTTAGAACTTTTTGAAATGCTAATTATGTATGCTGTACTAGCATTCAGGGTATATAAACAGGTCCTGGCTTTTCCTTGAGGTACATATCCAATGAGAAGGCATTATAGGATAACAGGATGGCTGAAAATGTGGTTTCAGAGAGTTTAAACATGTAGGAAGTTGTTTTCATGGAATTTCAACTTCCATGGGTCTCCACATCTCTCTGGACCTCCATTTATGTTTATGAGACGAACATTTATACCAGTTTTGTACAGTTGTTGTATTGGTAAAGTGTCTAATTGATTTACAAAAAATATAAAATACAATTTATGCATTTAATTTCATGTGGGTATATGTAAATGAAGGAAATATCATAGGACAACTTGTATATTGTTTCCTAATGCTATCCACTTTTATTTTCTCTTGAGGCAGGGTCTCTCACTGGTATGGAACTCACCAAGCAGGCTAGACTGTCTGACCAAAGGAGCAGACACATGCCTACCTTACCTCTCCAGCTTTGTAGCTACCAGTACATACCACTATGCCCAGGGTTTTGTGTTGTGGCTTTGTTTTGTTTTGTTTTGTTTGTAGGTTATAGAGATTAAAAGGAGGTATTAATGCTTGTAAGGCAAGTGCTTACTGTCTGAGCCATCTTCTCAACCCACAGGATGTAATTTAAAACATTGGTTGCTTACTTATCACATGTATCTTGAGATTTCTGAACCCATTTAGTGCTTGGAAAGAATGTTTCTACATGTCCTCATTTCAAAGTGGTCATCTTTTCATGATACAACCACTATGTTTTAGCAAACAAAAAATAAAATAGAAAATTTGAGGGGAGAGTCAAGAGACTACTGATACCTGATACAAGGAAAAATAACAGGCAATCTCATTCCTAGATATTTCTGGTAGTTTTTCTTTAAGTGATTTGTACTTTAAGAAATAAATACTAGCCTGAT